TAACCACGAGGAGGAAGGAGGGAGACCTACCACAGCAAGACATCAAGAAAACACCTCTCCTGTGCAGAAACTAGTGGAGCAAGATGGACAAGTTACCATTGGGGAAGTTCCAAATGAGGGAGTAATCGCACACGGACCAGAATGTTAAATTCTCACTTAAAATCCTGGCTTGAGCAAGCTCTCGGTGTGCACGATGGATCCCAAAAGGCGGTGTAGGAACAAGAACTGACCCAAAGTGCTGAGCCTTCTTTACCAACTGTAGCAAAGATGGAAGCGAATGAGGACAATTTTTAAGTGCTGTAATACCAGCGATGAACCTGAATCCACCAATTTGTTGTAGAAAGCAAGATTTAATCAAAAAAGTGGCATCCAAAGGGAACATCTGGGTCAGTCACGTTTAAAGCTAAAATCACCACTAAGATGGTCATGGGCACTATGTTTTGGGATTCACAAGGAGTGATATTGATAGACTTTCTAGAAGGACAGAAAACGGTCACCCCAAGTTATTATGAAGTCGTTTTCTAGAAGATGAAGTCATCTTTCGCCAAGAAAAACCTGCATAGGAAATTACACAGTCAAATTTTGTTTCATCGTGGCAGTACCTCCACACATTTTTCAAGGGCTGCCAGGGGCCTGTTGAAAGAGTTTTGGTGGGAAACACTTCCACTCTCTCCTCATGGTTCAGACATAGCTACCTCAGGCATTTTTATTTCCTAAACTGCAGGAACACTTTAAAGGCCTCCTATTTACGTCTTCAGATGAGGCGAAAGGCATCCTATTTCGTGAGGACTATTACAACAACGCATATACAAAAATTGAGCTTATGCAGAACAATGCATGCAATCATTTGTTAAATAATTATATTATGAAATTTGTCCGAGAACTCTTTGGCTCACTCTCGTATTTGGATGGAAAACGAATGAACTTTAATCTTCATTTTTTTCCACTTCCCATTAAAAAGGAAGAGCAAAATAGTTCTGATCAAATGAATGAGAAAACAAATATTGTCAATAATGTACGGAAATAATTCTGACCCGATCGAAGAAATATCGAGTGGGAGTGGGAGAGAATAACAAGGAATATGGAATATGTAGATGGGAAAATATCAAATACTTTATTTTAATCAGGCTCTTTGTTCTGCTACCTTCTGTTATCAAATCCGCTTTTGTCGTTATTGGAAACAAAATACATCCTTTTCTTAAAATTAGTCGGATCATAATTGTAAGTCGATTGGGCAATATAAATTCACACAGAACCACAAATGAGATATGTCTGGTTGAGGATCATGAAGTAATTTTCCTAACAGAAGATGAAAGGTAAGAACATATACACATAGAAATGAAGATGAAAATTTGATGTGAAGAGGTATTAACTTTGATGCACCTAGTTGCCCATATATGGCTAAATTACACTCATTAGGCAACATCAATTTCACAGAAAGTTTTTGACGTAAATGTAAGCGAACATGCTGGTTTATTGTCGGATGAATCATCGATATGAAAAATGGCAATAGACAGAATATGTCTGTCAAAATAAAATGCTAAAATTTTAATTGAAAATAACTCCAATGTAATTAAATGTGTTTGAATCTTAGTAAATGAATGTTCCAAATTTTGAAAATATTTGGAAAAATAAAACGTCAGAGACACATTTTTCATAAATAGAAAATTGCTTCCAGTTACAAATCTTTTTGTTATTAATTCACAAACTAATTTAATATTTAGAGTTTTTAGAGCATATGATCATTATTAATTCCACTGTCGAAATCATTTAAATTTCGTAAATAATGAGCAACAATTCTGGTGTACTCATTCTTTTTAAATTCAATTTATTAAGATTGGCGAATCTCAAAATCCCTAGGTGAAGAAATTAGCTAGTGAAAGAAATTTAATTTTAAATAAGGATTCCTTGAATATCAAGTCATTTGATTTTTATTAGTTTCGCGATTAGAAGGATATTAGCGTAAAATCACAACTGTGAGTGACGCAATAGGGGAAGTTGACTTCTAATCTATATGGAAAATGATTGATCCGTAATGACTTGCCTATGGTTCGATACCAATATACTAACTCTTATTAACTAATTGAAGTCATAATTTCTGACCTCGGTTATTCCAGTTATTCTAGAAATACATTTGAAATGCATATTTTATAACAAACACACAACAGTTTCACCACCATTTGTGTATAAAATAAATTGAATCGGTAGGGTCGTTCATATTTATTAAACTATCGTAAGGAAAGCATGAATACCATGGACAAGAATTTGCTCGACAATCCAAGCACTTAAGTAAACATTTAATTTAAATAATCGAAATAAGACTAGTGACGCTCTGCTACCTCAAAGCCTCTTCGATTTCATCCCATTTTACAATCATTTCTCCTTACTCTAACACTCTGTTACTTGTTTAATTACAATGAAAATTGTGTAATTTTAGCCTCTACAGGTTTTACAAAGTCGATTATTTTGGCTTTGTCCTCATAATACTCACAGGTAGAGGTAATAGGTTGATAAATTACTAACCCGAAATGCGGACAATATTTGGAATCTTTCAAATAATCTAGTTGATGTTGTTGATGATGACGTTGTTGCAACTATTTATCGATTGTGGCGTTCGAACTCACCTCCTGCCTTAATGATTGATGATGATTGAAAGAACTACTGCTCATTTTCTAAAAACTATCAAGCGACATATTCTTAAACAATTTTGAAAATTGATTTCACACATTTTTCAGGATTAGGCCCAGATCACTTATATGTCTTAATTATATTAAATATTATAAATTATTTGTCCAGGCTTAAATGGCCCTAAAATCGGCCATATGGAGCCTAATTTCATATCTGTCTCTCATCGAAGCCATTCGAAGGGAATACTTAATGAGGTGACGTGTCCTGCATTCCCTGGATGCTAGAATGGTAGTATCATATTTCACTTTATAACAAAATCAAACACTATGACTAGGCGCCGATTTAATCATATAAATTTTGTAATTTAATCAAAGAATTTAGTTGTTGAAGAAATAGAGACGCGATGGTAGTGATATTTCAGGAAGTTGACTGATTCGATTTCTTTCTTTACAAAAAAGAATTTCCAGCATAATGTTAAAAACGGTTCTATTGCTTCATCTTCCCATTCAGCATGACCTTTTTCTTAAAAATTGAATAATTGAAGAGAATTATTGATCCAGGCCATAAAATATTGCAGATCTTTTATAACGATTCTTGATAAATCCTACATTCCTGTGTTGATTATTTAGTCCGCTCCGATGTTTGTTTAAATTGGGTGCGCGATAGACTTACCTCCACGTGGTACACCCTGGGCAATGTATACTCATACGGCAAAAAAGTCAATTATTCGGCATTTGACTTCTAACTTCAAACTACCATGACCCCACTGTATGTCAAATTCGACCACTTCAACAGTACTCATCTTACCTTTTCTCTGCATTTGTTTCTGTCTATCTTTTTTAAATCTGCAAATCACTCTTCTTCCCTGCCCCCCTCCAGAATTTTTCTCACTATGATGTTGCTTCCCTCTGTGAAGTCTGAAGTCAGCTAAAGGGCTAATGATCATTATCAAAACGCCTGCCATTTGAAATAAATAAATAAATGTTTGTTTAAATCACTAATGAGGTCGAAAAGTGAGGGAATAAAAGACAAGTTTCAAGGCGCTATTTCATCTCGTTTCTTGACTCAGGTTCTCATTCATACACCAAAGTTCCATGGTTAATTAGCAATATTCCTGAGAAAATTCTTATCGTTCGGTTGTTGGAATATGTTGATCGGTCTGCTCAAGAGCAAAATAATCTTACATTGTATTGAGTATTTTGCATGAACTTAACATTAAAGAGACCTAGAACAGGTTAAGCATTATTATAATTCCACTTTAAGGGGTTAAATAGCCAGAGGTGGTTATAAGTTGCTCTAACATTTAACCTTAAATGGTTAGAGTTATCATTGTCATGTGATGACTAACTAACTAAAACAGCATCTCCAAAATCAGTTCATGGGCTAACCAGACATTAGTGGGGCACTGTCAATCTAGTTCAAGACATTCAGCAATTGATGCCTGTCTTCATCTTTTATTAGAAGCTGCCATTTTATCAATTTTTGTTTGCACCATCACATCTGCCAGCAGCAGCAACCCAGAATGACTGTTACGTCCACAAGTTAGAATATGCTATTCTGAACAAATTTTCAAACAAACACTTCATTGCTTTCAATGGTACTGTATCAGAAAAGGATTCTGAGTAAAATTAACTGCTTAACCGAGTAGTTTACTTCGCAGCGGGTTAATTGGTCTATCGGGGCGTAAGTAGAGGGGTGGGTGTAGCCCAAAAACTGAACACCTGCAAATGGTAGAAAATAACCAACAAGGACGAAGTGGTTTTCAAATTATGTTACTTCAGAGCCTTCTAAAACTTGCTGAAAATATTTTAACTTTCCAAGCGAATGCTGGGCTCCAAGCGCGTTCAAACCACAAAATTGCTGGTCATGCCGTTTATTAGATGCAAGCACCAAACTCCCAACGTGAATGTTTATATTGGCCGAAACGCTACAGCCACACAACGAATTCCGATCCAAATTATCATTATGTCAATGCTAGGCAAGTGATTAACTTGGAAATCGTACTCAATTTCTACTTTTATTTAAACTATAACATCCACCACAGACAATGAAAACAAATTTTGCTCAATGCAGGCAACATTATCCCAACACGTTGTATTACCGTCAATAGGCTATCTTCTCTACACACAAACACACACACACACAAAATGAAAATGGGATGACAACCGGTTTGAGAGTGGGATGCATTCTATCACATTTTGTCACACCGATAGGATCTTTACCGGGTGGGAGCATACGTAATAGGGGTGGTTAGGGAGAAAATGAATCAAAGTTAGTAAAAGTCATGTTACAAAAGGTGGATATTTGAGGCTATGCATCCGTCTCTACGTGCATGTTCGTATAATATATAATGAGTGATAGCGCTACTATGCTCAATTAGTAGAGGTTGTCGTGGAGAGAGTGGGAGTCACTGAGGGACTTCCACGAAAGCGGCGACGGAGTAGGTTATTCGAGGCGTCCGGGAGCTTTTTCAGCTTAGGAGTGTTACTCACCTTCCGCATTATTTGCAAATTTTCTCGGAAACCCTCCTGCAAAAAAAATATAAAAATCAGATAGAAATGCCATGCATAACACGTAGGCAGCCACAACAGCGCTAAATAACAATAGGCAACGCAGGGTATTTAACTTTATTAAGAGCCCCCAAAGTGGCCCTCAAGCAACTAACCTTCGAAAAAGATATGAGTAATTACGCTCAATGAATACCCCGCATATATATATATATAATAAACTTTGAGTCAATACGTTGGGATGACAATATGGTCATATCTGAACTGTTTACATTAGACTACATTCTGTGAAGCATATTATTGGTGTTCAACTAATTGAGCCCAAGTACCTTAGAATAGCATCACAAGAAGTAACTAGGGGCGAATGATCTAATTCTCAACTCAACTCATGGTGGATTATAGCATTCAACACCACTGAAAGCACGAAATTTGATTTGGAGATTCGATATAAAAGAATGCAAGAGTTGCATTAGACTCGGGTTGTGTCTACAGTGGTCTTCCTTTGCCTCGTTAGCTTAATAAAAAAGGAATTATTAGGAAATACACACCATACTTCAACATTGTACTGTAATTTTGACTGAACGCGAACAATTTCAAACAAAAATAATGAACGGATGTGAGGGAATAACTTGTGAAGACAATAACTTGGCCATCAAATCAAAGTGGATACAAGCTATAAAAATGAATTCATCTCCAGGCAAATCTTCAATGAATGATAAGAAGCTGTATTTTCTGGGTTTCTCCTAGGTGTAATAAATCGATATACATGTTAGGTAACACCAAAGCCAGACTCGAAATCGAGTCTTTCAGTGTATGAAGGAGTGAAATTTTGAAGGCACAAGATGGTCAACGACGCTGAAGTGGAGAGTACTTTAATTTGAAATTACTCATAACGAGGTGCGTGCTTCGCAGAGCTATGGTCAATCGAAAGCAGTCCTTCGCTCTCGATAGAAATACGAGGAAGATAGTCATTTTTTTATTATGGCTAACAAAGCAAAACGAAGGGTACTCTAGTGGGCAAGACCTTACCACTATGGCTATCAGGACAATAAAAGGGAATTTGGTGGGGGGGGGGGGGGGGGCGCTAGATTTAGGCGATTGTAATTTTTAGGAAAGCGCGTCTTTCTTTCACCTCTACGGTAGGATTAAAATATCATGCACCATTTACAAATTGAGTTATCGTTTAATATCATCAGCATCATCAACGGCAGCATTTCTACCATGAATATTATCTTCAATACTTGGTGAATGAAGAACGAATGCCCTCTTACCTAATAAGGGTGAGAATTAAACGCCTCTAATCCTTTTAAGGTTTACGATATCCAATGTACTAAACAAGATGGAAGAACTAAATTAGCAAGGAGCATCTGACACGCAGCTGATCTTCAAAATCCCAACAAAAAAAGGCCGCAAAGGTGTGAATGTTGGAATGTAAGTCCGGAAAAGTGACAGGATAAATATGAATAATCAGAACATTCCACATCGCTAACTTTTATAGAAAGAGCACAGCTCTAGTAATAACAACAGAAAAGAGCTCACATCAAGAGAATTGTCTCATTTTCATATATAAGGAAGCTTTGTAGCGTTGTCTAATTGCTGATTGTTTTATGTTGTAAGTGCAAAAGCAATCTAGTACACCTCTTTGTCATTATGATGTAATAAGTTTGGAGACTAAGTAGTAGTCATACGAAACGCAACAATCTCTTAGAGAGGGAGCTTCTCAAGAGGAGGAGGTGGTGGTGGAAGAGTGACATTCGATTGAAGCGTGAGCATTAGGTATTTAAGATAATTTATAAGTTACAAAACAATATTTCCTTGAGAGTTTTATGACAATGTTATTAGGCCATTAACCACTAACTAACTAGATTATATTAACTAATTGCTCATGCTTAAACCAAAATAAGCTTTGCACCACCATTCGCCTATTTAAATTCAATCAATTTAGGTCTTCCACAATCAGAGGACCTTGAACTGGAATATGCACAGAGATTGTTACTCAACATTAACCACCATTTACTTCAGCTTTCATCTACCTGCCTTGAAAGTCGAACCACAACCGAGAGTGTCCTTAGGAATAAACTCCAGTTCGCCTTATACATGTTTCCTATCCTTATCGTAACTCAGATACGCTCCTATTAAAGAGTGAACCAAGGCGGCACTCGAGAAATAATACACAGTAGCACTAATTTCCTTAACTCCGAGTTAAAACAATCTAAGCGGCTTACTAACCACCTCCCTACTGTCTCATTAATGTACACTGTAATAGGCATTATATAGGATTCTAGTAAGCCGACTAGTTGGCTTGATCTTGAAAAGTGCAGCCAGTCGTCCTGTTAGTGGTTATGCCTTTTCTTTCAGTGCTTTCAGTCGAGATAAGAGTCTAGTTATAATGCTAGTAGGAGGAATGATAGTTGGGTTTTGTATGAAGCTGTCGAATTCGACTGTATTAAAGTGGGGGAAACAAATGGAATTCTATCTCCTCCTTGTCCGGTTAAACTCAAGTCGAGAACACAGGGCGTAGTGTTTATGGGCAAGCAAGATCATTAGAGATCCCTAAAAAAAGCATGGAAAGAGGGAAAAGCAAATCGAATAAAATGCGAACACCAGAAGGGAATGGGGCATGTATGGACTCGTCTAAAATTTTTAAATTATTACTTTAATATTCAGCATTTCAAGATGATTTATTTGACCTAAATATTATTAACTAGGAGTGTGAGAGAAAGAGTCATGGCAGGTGTATTAATGAATTAACTCAAGAAGATTGGCGCTTGTGACAATATTGAAGACCAAGATATTCTTCCACACACTCATTCACTAAAATGCTGCTATGTATAGGAAGCATAATTAAATTTAAAAAATTGTGAGCGGGGCGGGGTGTGGAATTCAATGAGGTATCAAGACTTCACATTTACGCAAATCATTAAAGAAAGCACTCAATATTGATTTTAAATAAAAGCAACAATAATGGCGACACTATAGCAAATAGGTGCCTCTACCAGGTCGGAGGTGATCATGAGAGAAATGCTCATCTGTGAAAAATCGGTGAATAGAGTGATGCTTTTGACTGATAGTGACCAAAAGAGGAAAGTTCAATATAAGTTCTTATTAGCGAAAAGCCGATATTCAGTGCCATTTCTAAGGTGGAATAATAGTCATGAAGGAACATTGACCGGGGAAGCACAAATCGAAACACGAACTCAAGATTAAAACGATATTTTAGAGACGGAAATCCAGAAATTCAAGTAACAAATCCCTTCACATAAATGCAAAATTGTCGAACTTGCATCTTTGGTAAGAACATCAAGTGACTATTTTTCTGATTAAGTAGTCTTAATGAGAGCGGACAAGCATGATTTCGAGGTAATAGATACCTAATTTCCAAAAGTACCCTTGTTATCGAAACCCCCATTCACTACACACACACTTAACTATGAAATAAGAAGGTGCTTAAAAGCTTTCGAATGAGGAACTCTTGCGCTGTTCCACTTTAGCATAGCAAGAATGCTTTTATAGGTATCGCGTAAGCATTTGAAAACTTTAAATTTATGTCTATCACCACAAAACACATATAAGCTACACACATTAAGGAATGCTACCTTTTCGCGTGACTGCCCGCACTGAAGTACACACATATGCATAATACCTTCACCTGCGTCAATTCTCAATTCAAACTCAAGTGTAGACAGGAAGACAATGCATCCAGACCGAATGAGTGACTGAAATGCCGTAACCGATTGTGATTTCTTCTCATTGTAAGGGTTTGTGCTCAAACTAACAAGCAAATAGCCAAAAGACCTCTAGATGGTATATGAGGCAGAGAGGGTTGGGGGGGGGAGGGGGGGGGNGGGGGGGGGGGGGGGGGGGGTGAATTTACTAGCCTATATTTCTTTTTCCTTCAAAATCTAGGGTTCTTTTAAGCTTAATACATAGCTCTGTTCTGGCCTGAGTCACTCATATCGCCAGGTCTTAATCCGGCGTAATTTCCTCTTTCATTCCAAGCCGTGGCTCAAATCAAAAGGGAAGGAAATTTACTAAAGATGACTCAGCACATCTGAGGGGAAGGAGATGTGCGCCTACGATAAAGGCGGAGGAAAGCAATTCTCAACTCAAAATGAGGAAAAAAGCTGGAGGCCTGTGAGAATATTTTTTGGGACAAAGCAATGAGTAATCCAAACGCACCTTCCTGTTAGGAAACACCGTGTTCTGCAGGAATTGAAATATAGGCGATTTCTAGGCTGATAAAGAAATGAACCATAGCATCTTTACTGAGGTCAATCAAGTGCAAACAACAAAAGAATTAAATCGTAAGGCCTCAGTTAATCCTCAATTGCGTTCTTGAAGAGCATAAATATCAGAAGTAAAATGATAAGAAATGAAAAGGTCTATAATGATTGCATGACGGAAAAGTAGTTCATTTGAAGATAAAATATTCGAAGGAAGTTGCCCTGATAAATGTTCCAACCAACCCTAATCATTCAAGGCTTATAATCTCAAATAGTTTTAAATACAATAACAGCTTAGACTAATGAAATAATGCTCTTCGGTCATGATCTGATATCCAATGGCTAAAAATGGGTTGTAAAAATCCTGAAAAGCCCAAAAAAGTCTGCAGGACAAATGGTGATTGACAGATTCATGAACTATAAAGATATTTCATATAAAACTAAAATCGAGTAAATTAAAATTCATCTCTGTCCAAGAGAAGTTACCTTGAAAGATGTGAAAATGAGAACAGTTACATATTGAGTGAATTTAATAGTATAAAATAGAAATGAAGTAGGACACAATTAATTATAGACTTCGAGTAGAGCAGTTAACTTTTAACCAAAAAATTGATAATTCCAGAAGTGACTCCGACTATTTCACTCAAGAATGCACTGAAAAATGACATTGCTAAAACGACTAGGGCATGCATGAGTGTGCATTGATTAATGGGATGAAAGAAAAACCGTTAGCATTCTTATTCCTACGCAGGTCTAGTAAATAGTAGAGTTCTTCATGAACATTCCACAGTTAAAAAGGCGATTTAAAAGTTTAAATAAATTTCAACCACACACCGTTCTCCGCCTTTTCATTGCAACTAAAACAGAGCTGAAATAATTGATGGACAATTTTAATGAAATGCGATATTAAAATCCCCTTGAAAATTGTCGATTAGTCATTAGATCAATAAATATCGATTTGTCCTCTAACTGCGCTCATGTTCTGATTTTACCCTTACAAGAGCCGGAAAAGGTATCCAACACATTATTACCAAAATCAAATACTGTTCTTTCTTACCAATGTAAAATATGTGCATGGGACTTCGAAATAAGTTATAACACGGAAAAGAACGAATTAACCACATTTTTAATAAAATGATAGGATTTTAACTCGAGGCTGTGAAATTGAGTGAAAGGACAAAAGAAGCCTAATGCTTAAGCAAATAAAAGTTTCATTACCTGAACATCATTCCAATTCATATTCTCGCAGTTTAACACACTGATGGTATGAAGGGGAGTTTCCGGGGCTCGTTGATGCTGAATGATCCACGAATGCTGCATAACTCCTTCAATTGTGAGTCGTTCGCGTGGCTCAACGATTAGAAGTTTCTCTATAAGATCTTTCGCTGTACAAAAAAGCAAATCCGAAAATTATTTTTTTCAATTATTTTAAGGTCAATAAAACCAACTGGATAAGTAAATAACCTTCATTGGAAACATATTTCCATTCATTTGGGGGAAACGTGTAATATCCAGCTATGATGCGATCTTTCATTCCGGGAGAAAAATGGTCCCCTCTGGAGCTATAGAAAGGAGGGTACCCACACAACCTTAAAGAAAGGAGTCATTAAAAGACAATGAGTAGGGCCTACAGAATGTATGTTATTACACCGAGAGACCACATATCGCACTGTTGATCATAGGCGGCAGAACCAAACACTTCGGGTGCTATTGAACGGAAAAGAAATTAGCTCCAAGTTGCATTTTCTTACCAACATAATATGGTGAAAAACACGGAGTCTTGAGAAAGTCAGACGTTTCCTTTGCAAAACCGAAATCGGTCAGTTTGAGTGTAGCCTTTGGATCTTCCGATTCGAACAGTAAATTTTCAGGCTATGGAAGAGAAATTAAAAATTGCTTTCTGAATTACCTTCAAGTCCCTATGGGCGATCTTTTGGCTGTGAAGACAGTAAATTGCATTTGCAATCTGGTAAACAATTTGAGCAGCGTCTAAAGAAATGCAAAAATTAGAAGTAAGCATGTGTATAATAGCTCTAACCGGGGACGAGAGATTTTCAATTAACTAGATGCTTAAAATTAGTAATTTACATCGAATCTGTTGAAAGACAACAACGAAAGTACTAAAATAGTTCTATTAAAATTATCAACAGATTTTCCAATTCAATCTTCCGCCTCTTAAGTGCCCAAAAAATTATAAACCAAAATGTCCAGAATAGCGATAGTGCCAGAGCGCGAATACAAATAAAGCCTTAATGAAATGGCATACGGCAAATTCATAAATGACTAAGGTATCATAGTAAAACAAACCGTATTCGGTGAAACCATGTTGATGCCGTTGTTGTATTCTATTAAAGAGTTCGCCGCCTGCCATGCACTCCATGACAATGAGTAAATGGTCGTGACCGGTGTTAGTATTATTATTCCGATAAATGTCCAAAATATTAACAATGTTTTTGCAGTTTCGAACGCGATAATGTATGTCGACTTCTCGGTGAGCTTTGTCATCGTCACCGAGTACCTACAAATGTTTGTCAATTCTGGATTAATATATTTGGCATACTTTAAGAGCACAAATCATTCCAGTTCGTCTATTAATGCATTTTACGACTTTTCCATTAATTCCAGTGCCAAGGCAATGCTGAGTGATTTCATAGTCCTGTGTTATAGGGTATAACTTCACTGGGAAATTACGGAAGTTCATTTTATCAATGGTCATCTTCCAAATGTCAGCAAGCTGCCAGTGCTCTTAAGGTCGAACATATTGACTGATTAAAACACAAATTAAATGTTATGTTATTATTATTAGTATAAAATTTTGTATTTCCTTTTAAACCATAGTCAAAATATTATAAGCGCAAAAGCCTAATAATGTTTACTTTTTTATATATTTCTTAGACTATTTGAGTTGCAGAGGCTTAAGTATAATTTACACTATTTTTACTAAATAACAATGATTGTTTTTACCATTCCGTAGTTCAAAATGGCTCCTCGTGATTGCTTAATATCTACCGAATCTATTCTCATGAAATTGAAAACGTGATCAGATTTTGAATTTAATTTATTCCAATAAATGATACAGAAACAATGAGTATGTGCATTTTTCTTCTGCGAACGCGTTTCCTTTCAAGAAAAATCGACAGTAAAGTGTAACACTTGTATGAGGCAACAGTGCTCATTATTTCAGAGATCCACACATGCCAATTCGTACGACTTCGGAAAACGCGCAAAATGACGTTAAGGCGGATTTATGCCTTTAATTTGGGCCGAATCATAAGCTGAAAGTGGATGTACTTATCCCTTGTGTCTATTAAATGAACACAGAGGAAAACTTTTGAATATTTTAAATAGTTATCTATGACAGCAAAATAGAAACAAAATGCTTCAAATTTGATTCTCGAATTAACCGAGAACACAATGAAAATTAAGAAGTCATTCGAAATGCAGTGATCAGCGATCTGTTTCTTACTTACACGATCCAGTTTTATTTTAAACAATTTCATATGAACTGAATTTTGTGGTGCTTATTTCCATTCACAGTCCTGAAATGAAATATAATTGGTCTTTAACATTCCACTATTGTAATTGTAAACCATACTAATCGTATTATTTGTTGTTAATTTGATGATAATATTTATTTTCCCCTGAACTTCTGATTGCATGACTGTCTAAATATGACTCTTTTATTTTTTCCATTCATAACTTAGGCCGTTTTTCTGTGCTAATAAATAATAAATCCAACGTTAAATAGAGTATACCTGATATTGGTATTTATTTTAAAAGCTTCATAACGATTTGATAGGACGTTTCTTAATGCTCTGCTTAGCCTCACTTTTTGCGTAATGAATCTGTTAAGCAGCTTTAAAGGGAAATATATTCCGTTGTTAAATTCGAGATTATGCTTCAGTTGCAGAAGTTTTAACTTGAATCCGCAATATGAACCTCAAGTAAGTGTATCACTAGTGTAGGTGTAACAATATAGCACGTTCCATTCAATGTTATTACCTTTTGATATCCGATTTTTTCCAGATGCATCCTAACACATTTGCGAACAATGCAAGAAATAATACTCTGCCTCGCGATTACGAACGCATGATGCAAAAAGTCATGCATCGTGTCGGCCCTACTACAATCATGACTAAACGACTCAAGCGCATGTCGATGAGCAAACGTGAAATCAAATTTAGTGAGGAAGCCCGTCTTTCCTCCCCTGAAGGCCGAGTTATTATGTATCGCCGTCTTCTGGAAGGCAAGAGGAACTTGGTACCTTTCGGAAAGTAGAATTATCAGTGTTGTTGATGTATTCTGTATATAGTTTGTTATGGTAATTTGGTGTTCCGAATAGATGCGTCTTTGTCTTTTTCACAGAATTTTCTCTCTGATTAAGAGTAAACTGCTGAGCTTCTTTTGTTCCTTTTGATCTGGTGGTGATTTATACGATATTTGCTCCAAATGTTGCCATAACTATCAGAACTCTATTTAAGTCAGCTTAAGCCACTGCCCATTTGACCCCTTTTAACTATTTTTATTAATACTGTCATTGTGCATTCTCAGCTTGCCACTTTCAAACAAACTCCGATGATTCAACTTCAGTTTACCCTTTGCTTCTAACAATTTGATGTGCTGTAGTGGAAAGTGGAATTTGACGGTTTGTGATTCTCGAAATGAAGACCACTGATATTGTGTTTTCCTTTTTTGGGAGGGTCGGAAAATTAGATATTTATTTATTTCAAATGGCAGGCGTTATGATAGGTATCATTAGCCCTTTAGTTGACTTCGTGCTTCACAGAAAGGAAGAGGAACACCAAAGTGGCAAAAAGTCGAGAGGGGGGGGGGACAGAATAATGATTCACTGACGTAAAAGAGATAGACAGACACAAAGGTAGAAAAAAGGTGCGTACTGTGGAATTAGTCGAAAATGAAATGCGGTGGGGTCTTGGTAGTTTGAAGTCAGAAGTCAAATGCCAGTTAATAGACTTTTTTGCCGTATGAGAATACGTTGCCCAGGGTGCATCACGAGGAGGTAAGTCTGTCGCACACGCCGAAAATTAGATATAATGCACTGAATATCGGTATTCCCCCCATATGTATTTATTGGAACGGGATTCTCGCCTATTATGCTAGTTTTTTAAGCAGAAGAATTTTTAAATCTGATTCCAAATGGGTCTAAGGGACTTGATCTACTTTCCTATCACGTCATAGAAACAGAGCAATTAAGTTGTATATTTGAAACGGTTAGTCCGATCCAAA